CAGTCAAGTGAGGAGACCAAGACGCCGGGGTAGGCAAGCTGCCCGAAGGAGGGGCAGCCAGCATACCGCTATTGGGAGCATGCCGGATCACAGACAGAAGGACGCCATTCCATCGACAGCGTCTGCCATCAGGCCCACCTCCCAGAAAATAGCTGCTCCTTCTGTGCCAGATAAGATTGCCGTGGAAGGTAAGCTTGTACCAAAGTGACTCTGTAACCTCTAGCTTGACTTTGGAATTCCCTCTAATGGTCTCTTCTCCCAAGTTCTCATAACCTTGCTTAATCCCAAAAAGGTGTTAACTCTTATCTACTATAACTTCACTGCCGGGTAATTAACGTTTGGGCATTTGAGGCTGCGTTCAGAAATAGTGGACAAAGACACGTCAATGTAGTGCAACTGCAATGTCATAAGCAACTCTGTAGTAGAGATGAGTTCCAGATGAAAAGTTTGTTTGTCAGATTTTTGCACAATGTACATTGTTATATACGTATGTATAATCGGGATGGTAAAAGTGACACGAAGCCATGAGAAACCATTTATTGAGGAAAATCAACGTGATATCCTGGATCCATCAATGCCCTTCGATATCCGTTCATTTAGTGGCAAAGTGAAAATATTGGACAAGGACGAGGTTTATGCCCTACCCGTTGAATATTGTTACCCTGACCACGTTAACAGAAATTACGTAAAAAAAACATCTCACTGTCGGGTCACCTAGAGTTGAAAAAAACATGGTTGTGAAAGGGTTAATAAAGAGCACCGCTAAAACAATGCTATCACAAGTTCTGGCTTTACCACACGTTCGAGCCAGTCTCCAGAGTTCCTCGAGTGTAACCAGAAAATTTCCTGTATGTTTTGTGCGCAGATAACCATGAGATGGGCCGGGAAGCAAGCCGCAAGGTGGACCCAGCAGATAATTGTGAAATTAGCTTCGTGGCTAACCGTGACATGAGCCTAGAGGCTGACCAAAAGATGAGCCCAGCCACAAGCTGTGAGGCGAGCCTGGTGGCTAGCCCTGAGGCTAGCCTCGTGGCTAACAATGAGATGAGCATGGTGGCTAGCCAAGAGGCAAGTCAGATGAGTAGCCATGGGCCCAACCCAATAGCGGACAGCGGTGCAAACCAGGTGGCAGACCATGGGCCAAGCCCGGTGGTAGATCGGGAGCCGGGCCAAACTGAAGGGGACAAAGCGAGTCGAGTGGCAAGCCACGGAGATATTCGTGCTGCTAGCAACAAGGCTGCTGAATGCAAGGGCTGCCAGGCTACAAGCTACCAGGGCAGTCCAGGTTGCGGGAGTGGTCAGGCTGCTGGTCACGGGCAAGGCGAGGCAGCAAACTGCGGGTTCGGCCAGGCAGCCGGTCAAGTGAGGAGACCAAAACGCCGGGGTCGCCAAGCTGCCCGAAGGAGGGGCAGCCAGCATACCGCTCTTGGGAGCATGCCGGATCACAGACAGAAGAACGCCATTCCATCGACAGCATCTGCCATCATCAGGCCCATCTCCCAGAAGCTAGCTGCCCCTCCTGTGCCAGACAAGATTCCCGTGGAAGGTAAGCTTGTACCAAAGTGACTCTGTAACCACTAGCTTGACTTTGGAATTCCCTCTAATTGTCTCTTCTTCCAAGTTCTCATAACCTTGCTTAATCCCAAAAATGTGTTAATGAAGAGCACCGCAAAAACAATATCACAAGTTCTGGCTTTACCACGCAACTTTCGAGCCAGTCTCCAAAGTACGTCGAGTGTGAACAGAAAATTTCCCGGATGTTTTGTGCGCAGACAAGATCTATAATGGAGCTCCACGACTCGCGCCAGAATCGGGGGAGAACCTGAGCCTTACGTGGCAGTGGAACGCATGCGAGGGTGCTGGCCTTGACAACATGGGGAACACCTGTTTCCTCAATGCCACCCTGCAGTGCCTCACTTACACCGCACCACTGGCAAACTACCTGATCTCCAGGCACCACTCAGGAAGATGTGAGTTCCCAGAACACTTTGAAATACCAACAAGCTGAAAATAATTGTTACGCGAAGATGTCCTAGCTGTGTGCTGCACCTACAGCTGAGCTTTGATTGGTGTTGTACTGACAGCATGTGCCACCTCTGCCTCACTTCATAGGTACAGATAATGGATGTTGCATGATGTGCATAATGGAGAGGCACACCATTGCAACATTCAGCTCCAAGGGCAAGGTCATCAAGCCCTTGGAAATCGTCCAAAACCTCAAACGTGAGTTCCGTTCAGTACAACACAATTGTGCATTGAATTTAGAACCTATTCATTGGGTGGCAGTGGGGCATTGGTAAAACGTTTAGTAACCTTGTGTTCAAACCGCTTCTGACCTCCATCCATTTACCCAAAGGGATCACCAAACACCTGCAGTTTGGCAAACAGGAGGACGTGCATGAGTTCTTCTGCTACATCATAGAAGCTCTGCACCTCTCCTGCCCAATCAACCACCACAAGTAATGCACGTCCTTGGCCACTGGTTCCCAAACTGTTACCAAAAATTAACAAAGTTTACAGAATATTCTTTAAATAAGCGTTTGGCTGCAAGGTGACGTAGGGTTGAAACAAAAAGGAGTAACTCTCCCATGTGCGCACTTGGTAAAGATGATGCATCTGTAAGGCACCGAATGTGTGATGTCATTCATTTCCACGTGCAGGCCGGAAGAACATCATATGGAGAAGACCTCGGTGATTCACCAGATCTTCACAGGACAGCTGAGATCAACAGGTGTGTGCCAGCTCCATGTGCAAAATCATCGCTGCAAGTAGCGATCACGCCGAGTATGACGACGCATGCTGCACAGTGCAGATGAACTCTGCACTCTTACGCACGTACACAGCATGACATAAGCAAAACACACAAATACAGAGATCTCCCTGAAGCCTTAACAGAATGCTCAAGCAATTGCTATTAGTGAGGCCAACAGGGCACATGACAAGGTGGTGTGGCTAGCACCATGCCCGGCCACCTTCGGGTGGCTAGCACCAGTGCTGAAGTTACACGAATGCACCAGAAGCCGAGGTTCAGGTGTTTTGGCCGTGAGCGAGGATCGAACTCAGTTCGCCAGCGCACTAACCGCTATATTTCCACTACCCGCACAATAAAAAATTGCACAAGCACACAGACACAACAACCCATTTGATCAGATACAAACACAAGTATTAAAACTTAACATCAACTTGCATGCGTGCACGTAATTATTTTACAGCAAAAACTTTTAATTACTGCATGGCTCAGTGGGAGAGCCAACAACTCACCATTGTAAGCTTAAATCCAGATTGGGGATTGACTCGTCACATCATCAATCTGGGGTCACTAAATCGAGTTTCACGTTGTGGGGAAGGCAACAGTGGTTGTCCTATTAACAGACTCCCCTTGCCATATGAAAGAGGACATTCTACCACTTCCTCAGATTTATAGAGAGCAGATGAGCACCATCTCAATGCCCATTTGAGCAGGAAATTACTTAGAATGTGAGTCAATATCACACGTGGTTTTATCTGAGTGGGTGATGTCTGGGGAATGATTGTGAGTTTGACTAGGGAACATGTAACTTCATTGTATTTGATGCCAACCTCCTCTAATTGCACGTGTGGATGTGTGCGCGTGCGTTCACTTGTGTTCCACAGTGGAGTGCACACAGTGCTCCTGCACCTCTGACACATTCGAAAACTGCCTGGACATCAGTCTTCACATCAACGTAAGAATCGAGGAATTCTTGATTTACTTAAATGGTATCTTTACTCGTGATGAGTTTCGGATTTAATTATTTTCTCATTTTCAAGCAACACTTTTGATATTTTTCGGATCGTGTACATTACACAAGTAGCGTCACTCAAACACATTAAGTTTGCCGATCGACTGGAATACTGTACATCAGATGAATCTGAAAATTAGGAGCACGTCCTTAATTCCTGTCACCTAAGGACACTGCCCTCTCATGTCACACCACAGGCCAGTACAACATAAGGACTCACTGTTCTAACAGCTGCAAAAGTTGTTCCCAGTGTTCTTTTCAAGCACTCATTTGCCTTCACGTCGTTCTATTTGACAGAATTCGCCAGATCTGCCTGGCAGCTTTTGCAGATTTCACCAAGACAGAGACACTGGATGAATACACTTGCCAAAGGTGAGTATGGCACGACATCAATGTCACGCGAGTCTGTCTACTTTGTAACGCCAACATTTTTGTACAGTTTTGCACTGGGCATCTCGGTCCTTAAACTGACGCTGCTGCTTTTTGGTGCGCAGGTGCTGTTGCAAGGTGAAGGCCACGAAGAGGATGAGCCTTCACCATCTCCCGAACGTCTTGGCTCTCTCCATCAAGAGATATGACCTGTTTGGAAACAAGATCAATCGGGTAATGTTTGGTTAATATCCAAGTTTTTAAAAATATTTCCTTTAAAATGTGGCAGTATTTGCTCCATTTTCTCATTGCTTGTTTTTGTGCTACTTCCTTTTTGGGTAATTTCTGTCATTTCTCTCACGTTATTTTTTTTGCCATGGTAGTAACACAGATCACTCGTGCAAATGTTTTTATTTTTTAATGGTCTCTCGAGCTCCCACCTGGTTAATCTACCTAAATTGGGCTCTATAGTAGCGAAATCTTAACTACCTCCTCTAGTATACAGGTCGTGGGTTCGATCCCGATCCTGCCTTTATATTTGGAGTTTGCATGTTCTCCCTGTGTTCACATGGATTTTTCTCCGGGTCCTCCAGTTGCTTCTAGAGTATTTATCTGCTATAACTATTCACGTGATAAGCCACTCCGTTGAGCTATCATTTATGGCTAGATCGATTCGGAGAAAGAGCAATATAGCTTAGTCAGCAAGCATTACCTGATAAAGTAAAAAAATAGTAGAACAAAAATTATATTAAAGAACTCGACCCTGCATCATTCTTCTCCTCTTCCCCACCTAACACCATCTCTGTTTCTGCATCACTGCTTCCTCCCTCACCACTGCAGGATTGCCCGTACCCACAGCACCTAGACGTGCGGCCATTCATGTCGCAGGAGGACGACGCAGCCCCTGTAGTGTACAGGTTATACTCGGTCCTTGTGCACTCTGGGAAATGCAGCACAGAGGGACATTACTACTGTTACAACAAGGTGATGTACTGCATTATCACACAAACACACGCCAAACATCCGTATGCATCGATCCTTTAAATAATTCGATTCAGTGAAACAAAATCTAAACCATTCCTGCTCCTTTGAGCCATGAGGTGGTGCTCATCTCCCATTTATAGGCCTGAGCCAGTGGTGAAAATTCCCCTTTCCTGTGACCGAGGGACAGCGTATGCATAGAACCACTGTTGAATTCATAAAAAATGTGTAATTTATTGACCCTGGATAGATGATGGACCAAGTGAAGTCCCAACCAGGATTTTAACTTTCAAATGTAACCAATTATTTGACAACACAATAATACGTGGAATAAGAGGGTCACCTCTGTTCCTCATGTGTCATTTTACAAATATATACATAGTTCAGGTGCAATTGGATGATCGTCGTAATTAATCTTCGATGTTGTTTGCATACAGATCTGCGATGGGAGATGGTTCCGGATGGACGACGACTTGGTGACGCCAGTCGACACCAGGGTGGTCATGGAGAAACAGGCATACATCCTCTTCTACGTCAGGTGAGTTACCCACGAGTTGTATTTGTGGGTATGCCCACAACAAGTGTGGTCAATGTGGAAGAGTAGACCAAATAGCATCTAGAGTTTGTCTACTCGAGGACTTACTGCCAGCAGTGGCATGAGCAAGAAATTTCCGAGCCACGCCGTTATCATTATCATATTTACCTAAGTTGGGCAGGCTACCTTCCACCTTCGCTGTTAAGGCTCGATCTCTGTTGAACTCACGGGAAGTTCACCAGGTTGCCCTTTGGGCCAATGAAACTCACGTAGCGGTCGTTCCATGTGCTGTGCGCAGGTCCCCAGAGATGAAGGCCATACCCGTGTGCAGTCAAATCAACGGCGGCCATGGGAAATGGCATCAAAAGAGGCGGCAGCGACGACCCTGACCCCGGAGATCAACCGTGATCACTGATGGATGATATCACACGAGGGACGTGGTCAAGTTGCTGCCCCTGCCACCACCGCTGCCACCGCTGCAAGGGCGATGCACACCGGGTCCTGATGAATACCGCTGACACAACACAGCCCAGAAGCGCCAGCACCACATCCACAAAGAAGATTATTATCGTTGTAAATGTGTACATTTTATAATTGTGAATACAAAAATACGTACTTTAAAATAAAAAAGTTTGAATCAATATCTTATTCTTGGGTATGATTCTGTATGTAGTTCGTAAGGCCATGTTCAGATCTAATAGCCAAGGGACATCCATACAGCAACGTGAACCGATGAAATGACTACTGCATTATTTCTGTGTTTAATAAAGTAGTGAATTTTGATGGCTGTTTTGCCATGCAGTTCAGATACCCACTGAATCCACGAGATGTCATCACTTCAGTGGTTGCAAATTCCAAATGTGAGGGCAAAAACAGTGAATTATTTGATAAACATTTGAAATGAGTGGTGGTGTATGCATGTTGAATTTCTTTCGCACCGTATGTAGCCTAGTGTGCTAATCGCAGGTGTCGGTTATCAAGTAACACACTCATTAGGCGTATTTATCCGAAGGTGTGACTAAACATGCTACCTAACGTTGTATCAATTACAGCTCTGGCCCATGGACTAAATAGCTCGATTACAGCCGCTACATTTGAATGCATTAATTCCGCACGTAAATATACAATGACCAACAGTGTGTGGCTGCAATACCACAAGAGCTCCATGACAGAGTCTATGAAGCCAACAATCTCAATTTAATTGCCAGCGATGGGGAGCATCACTGGCTCGTGATATCTGAACCGATCCTGCTACCACCCTGCACTCACCAGCGTGATGAAGAATGGCTCAACCCCTATGAAATGTGTTTGTCGCCACACACTACACTATACATCACGCCACATAGGCTACACTTGACACCACACTACACTTTCCATCACATGGAATTTATTATACACGCTATATGCAACACCACATAAACCACACACAGTACACAATATACACTGTACAACACACTATTCATACCGTACTTGCCACTTCACTATATATGACAGACTGTACTATCCACGTTATTGCACACTATACACCACAATTACAGACACTACACGATAAACCACAAACTACAGACACTACACTATACCACACTGTAAGACACACTCCACACACAATTCTCACTTTACACCACGCTCCAGTACATTACAACCCAGACACAAAATGTAAACCTAAAACAATACCGTAAAGGACGACCCCTGTGGAGACAAAACAATGAATGAGTTCACGTGCAAGAGATGGACGGACGGTGGGAGCGATGGACCGTGAGCGAGGGCGACTGGTGGAAGATGCCTCCATTCAGCAGTGGAGAGACAATGGCAGGAGCCGACTGCAACGCGCGGCGGCACTCTCCCTCTTGAGTTTTGTGAATCCACAAAGGCACAAAAATCACAGAGACGGCTGCCTACAGCCACATTCCCCGAAACCCATGAGACGCGCCGGCAAGTAAGACGCACAAATCTGGTGACAAGGAAAAGATCCCCCGTGTAGCCTGTAACAGACTGTTGGGGCAAGTACTGTTAGAGCAAGTAATCAGCACCTATGAAAGCCGGCAGGGCACACCAGGGGGTGGGTGGTCAACAACCACACCCGGCCCCCTTCGTCTCTGCAGCGGCGATGTTTACTGCACATCACACCGGGAACTCATTTGAGGCTGAGTCGACCTAGGGGAGGCCTACAACCGGTTTAGATAATCGTCACCTGCTGTTGGTAGTCGTGAGCTGGAATCGAACTCGGTTCGCCGGGTTCGTAGAGGAAGTGCGCTAACCACTGCTCCACCGCTCTACAAAGATAAAGCTCCCCCGTGTAGCCTGTAACAGACTGTTGGGGCAAGTGCTGTTGCACCTATGAAGTCCGGAAACTGCACACGAGGCATTGGGTTGGTCAGCACCACGCCCGGCCGCCTTTGTCTCCCCACACACACGCACACATACCGGATTGTAAGTTGCACCCCCGACTTTTGCTTCACACTCGTGGGGGCCGGGCAGAGAGAGAGGTGGCGTCTGTCGTGTGTTGGGAGCGATGGTGCAGCGGTTAACGCTGCGCTACGAACCCAGTTACCCGAGTTCGAGTTCCGATCACGACCACCAACACCAGGTGACGAAATCTGAACCGTTCCTGGGCCTCCCCAAGGTTGACTTAGCCTCACATGAGCACCTGGTGCGGTGTGTAAACATCGCCACTGGGGAGACAAAGGCGGCTGGCCTTCATAGGTGCTCGCTAACAGCAATTGCCCTCAACAGTCTGTTCAGGTAATACGGGAGATCATTGTTTTTGTATCTTGTTTGTCCCCAGGCTGAGTGGACGCGCCTCGCTGTGATGCGTAAACCTCCGCCCTGCAGTGGCCACATTGGTTAATTTCACGCCACCTGCTCCATCATTATCAGAATGAAACTAAAACTAAACTGTTTTTATGTTGCCAGGTAAGGCCCGCTGAGCTACATAGCTCTTTTTCAGAAGCGATCTGGTCATAGCTGATAGCTCAACGAAATAGCTTATTATGTGGACATTTACAGCAACCAAATACTCTAAACGCATGTTTCTAAATGTGAAGGGGACAACCGGAGAAAAAAACGACGCGACCGTGGGGAGGGAGACGTGCAAACATCAAATATACAAAAGGCGTTAGGGTCGGGATTGAATGCACGACCTACTGCATACTAGGCGAGGTAGTTAACATCTCGCCACCAGGGCATCCAATGTCGGCGGGGATAAGGGTCCATGGGGGGGTCCAGAATATTTTAACCGGTTCTGGGCATCCCCTAGGTCGACTCAGCCTCAAATGATTACCTAGTTTCCTGTGTAAACACCAGCATATGGGAGACAAAGACGGCCGGACGAGGTACTGGCAACCCACCCATCGGAATAATCGGCTATGATCTATCCACTGCTGGATGGTGGACTCCTCCAAATCAGTCGCCACCTGTCAAGAACTGGTGCCGCAACAATCCATGTCATCTCCAGCGCGTGAACTGATCTCGTCGCTCCATCTCCATCTCCTCGCTGGATTTCCTCTCCGCGGGCGCGTTCACACCCTTTGGGTGTCTCTCCGTCGTTAGTCTCGACCACTGGTCGTCGTCTCTTCTCGTGACGAGTGTGGCTGGCTTCACTGGCGAGGGGAGCGGTGGTGCAGTGGTTAACGTACTGTGTTATGAACTGAGCAACCGGAGTTTGATTTATGGCCACGGTTAACAGTGGAAAGTAATACCAGAACCGATCCTGCCCACTCCTCCTTCTCCCCCCCACCCTGCTCACCTTCACCAACACTGAACAGCGTGGGGGAAGTATGGTCAACCATCGCCAACATGGCGTGGGGAGGCCTTCATCCAGCAGGGGACTGACACAGGCGCTGTAAACTAGACATTATATTTATTTAGTTATTGCAGTACTCGCAGACTGTATACATAGCAACTGAGCCAATGCCCTTTCAGAGTCTACAAAGGCGATACGCATAATGATATTTGATATGATAATCAGTCCTTTCTCGAAGAATGTAGAGAAACATTTTGTAAATAAACCCAGCTTGTCCACGAAGTTGTTGTACTCCAACTCATCAATTCTTCTGTTCTCATGATCTTCAATTTCTATCCGTGTGATGAGGCCAGTGGGCCTGTCGTTCTTAAAATAAGTTTGTTTTTACATACCAACGTTGAAGAAAGCAGTGGGCAGGGAACTTTTTCCTTACTGAAGACCGCATAGGAGTTTTTGCGGGCCAATACAAAGAACCCGACATGAACTTAACAGACTGTTGGGGCAAGTGCTGTTCCCGAGCACCTATGAAGAAGACAAAGACGGCACATGAGGGGGTGGGTGGCCAAAACTACCCCCGACCCCCTCTGTGTCTCCCCAGTGCTGATATTTACACACCGCACCGGGTCACTCATTCGAAGGCTGAGTCGACCTAGGAGACGCCCAGCACCGCTTCAAATATCCGCCACTGTGATTGGTGGCGAGTAATTATTCAAATTAATACGGCAGTCACTTTTAATCAAATAAACGTTTAACAAGTTCCTTTCTGATGTGGTTTAATGTATTAAACGTAATGGTATATTATACAATTATTGTAAAATTGTTAAACCATTACAGTATTATGCTTTAAGCCTTAAGACAAATAATTAATGAATTGCCTCAAAACTTTCATTACAGCATATTTCACTATCATATTTGCTTGTAACTATAACATGCAAATTAGTTTTTTTTATTGTGTAAGCTACGGAACTATGTTATTGTGAGTATTTAAATATCCATATCACATATTTAACATGCTTTTATACACTTAACAGCTATAAATGCTGTATTTCAATAATAATTTTAATACAGAATTTTCACCCATCATATCCACTTTTGATTCTAGTCATACTTACAAGCTTAGAGAAGAACCTCAACTATATAACTGTTACTATGAATGTTGACATTTGCAACTTAAATCTGTAATGTTACAGATTCTTAAATCTGTAATGTTACAGATTTACCTCAGAATGCTACATTTGTGTTAAATCCTTAACCAAACAACTCTACCCGTACAAGCGCTAACCGCATCCCACCAGCACTCACCTCGAAGCACAACACATGTAATCAACCCAGCGGCCTTTATTTCACGTACCTGCTGCACGCACAAAGTGACACTTTAACTGCGGCCCTTTCCACTGCGGAGACGGAGCCATGGAACGAGTTGACGACGAGCAGCAAGAGACGGACGCACGGTGGGAGCGATGGACCGTGAGCGGCGAGAGCGGTGGAAGATGCCTTCATCCAGCAGTGGAGAGAAGACAACGGCAGAAGCAGCCGACTGCGAGGCGCGACACTGTCGCTGTTGAGCGACGCGTCTCTCGTTCCTCGTCTCTCGTCTCTGCAGACACACGGAGGGCGCGCGGCCTTCCCGCGTGCCTACACAGACCCCCCCCCCCCGGGCCACGTGGTGACACTAATATTTGAGGTAAACATCAATTTGTGACGGGAATCGACAGCGATTCGACGAGTGGCAACTCTCCCTGCACTTGTACTGACTGTGATAAAAAGTAG